CTGAATAAAATTTTCATCAAAAGTTAGCTCAGATTTTCTTCCACTGCCGTTTCTTTTCACTTCTTAGAGCTGACATCTGTAATAAAGAAAAGTAATTCAAAGAGGCCTGTCTGCTATGGGGCTTAAAGGACATGGAGACACTGACTTCACAGACAGCAGAGTACCAGGCTATTGTTGCGTTTATCCTAGAGGAGTTCTGATCATACAATGAGCATCTCCGATATTCATTCTTGCAAAATAAGTATTCTACTAGTGGAGCCACCCAGGGAGAGAATGTCTTTCTTCTTTTTTCTTGTTCCTTTTGATGATATTAGGTGGTCAGGGAGAAAAAGAAGGGGAGAGGCTCTCAGTCATCACACGTGGAGTGTCCCACAGACGCTTTCCGTAGGGGGGCTTCTTGTTCCTACACCAAGTAAAAGGCATGTGTGCATAAGAAAGTAATGCATAAAATATTCGGAGTCAAAAGAAAGCAGATATTTAAATAAACTTTGCATGAGTTCAAATTTGAGATACTTCTTTCCACTTCCCACTTGGTTATTTGATACTCATACTGGTGATATTTCCTCCAAACCATGAACTTTGCTATTCCTTCCACCGCAGCCTACTAATGATGACATCTTCAACACTTGACCTACCGTTCCATTATCTTAAATCAAAACCTTGGGAAAAAAATTCTTAGCTAAGGTGATGTCAGAATAATGGTGAACCCACAGCTCACTCAAACACTTAAGAGATTTTGAGGAAACTTTGAACTCCAAAAGTTTATGATTTGAAAAGTTCAAAACATTGTATCAGTGCTACCTGGTAACATTGAGCTCAATAAAAGTTCACTTATTACCTGGTGATATTTCTATTTCTGGTGTTTATCAGTCCATAGCTAGAGAAAAGTAAACTTTGTGTGAACTCGGTTTGCCTCTCAAGCATACTCTCCAAATGATGACCTCACACAGGTGAAAATCTGGAAGTCGGGCCACTCCCCCACGGTGCAAGCAGGAGCATATCAGGGCTCTTTGCTGGCACCACACTTGGGCATCACACTTAGGCCTTTGCCTCACTGTTTTCTGTGTAACTCAGAGTGAGTGGCTTTCTGTCTGAGTATTGTTTTCTTCATCTGTGCATTAAGCACCTGGGATTGTTCTGAGGAATGAGACTGTGTCTTTAATTATTTGCTGTACTATACATAGCAGTTCCCCCATACATCCTGAGCCACTTTAGAGATCACAAGCATAGCTAGACATGCAGTACAAATAAATGCTAAATGGAAAGTATGGGGAAGCTAAATGCTTCCATCTGGCAGAGGACAGTGGCAAGGGATAAGAAGAAGGAGACAATTTAACTGCTTCTAACAAATGAGAGGAAGATGGAGGCCAAACTTCTTTATGAATGTGATTCCAGTTGATGACCTGGGACAGAGCATAGCTGTCAGGACAGATGATATTAGCAGTCTATGTAACACATATCATTTCTGGTTCAACTGATGGAGTTTGCCAAGTCTTGACTACTGAGCTTGGATTGTTTTTAATTTTACTTAAAAACAAACAAGTGAAATTTCTATTATATTATGTGGTGATGATGATGGAATTGTTGAGGCTTTTGTGTAGTGCTGGTTAGTCAGACTCATTTCTCACATTCTTGAGAATTGTGTGTTTGTCTTTGTCCCTGGAAACAATGCCAAAACCATGAGGCGTCAGAGGAGATAAGAAATGGAAGCGAGGGTTGGAGAGATGGCTCAGAGGTTAAGAGCACTGACTGATCTTCCAGAGGTCCTGAGCTCAACTCCCAGCAACCACATGGTGGCTCACAACCATCTGTAATGAGATCTGGTGCCCTCTTCTGGTCATACATGCTGTATACAAAATAAATAACTAAATCTTTAAAAAAAAAAAAGAAAGAAAGAAAGAAAGAAAGAAAGAAAGAAAGAAAGAAAGAAAGAAATGAAAGCTAGACTTCTGCATTACACAGGCTTTTGAGATTTCTTGAGCACTTCTTTTCTACTTACAGTAGAGAAAATATCTCTACCAGCTTCACAGATATGGGGATGACACCCAACAGTGGCCTATGTACATCTTTAAGCCCTGAGGGGTGGGGACAGGTGCCACTATTGGTTAGCTACAAGCCAATGGACATAACTAGATGCATTCTGAACCTGGAAGAAAACTCTTTATCAGATCTGGCCTATCTCATCCTAGACATACTACCTGCACATTTTCTTCCAGCAGTTAGATAATAACATCTCTCTCCTTCACAGAGTATTTTATGTTAGAGGCAAAAGTTTAAAACCTCTAAAGGCTTTATTTTTTTTATATGAACAGTATGCTTAGCAATTACTTTAAAGAATTCAGAACTTTGCTTTTAATGGATTGTGGTCAGTGAGATAATATATAAACATAATTAATTGCAAACAATATTAACTATATGAAGGCACAAGAGAAGCATAACCAAAATACTTGAAAATTTCAGAATATAAAGTGAGTCCCATTTTCTGGAGAAAAAAAAAGATAATGTGGACCTCAGGTCTTCTGAGGGCAATGATTGCTGAAATGTATAATGCTTTAGGGCAAGTGATGAGTTACATGATTGACCTGGCAAGAGAGGGAAAGAAACTAAATTAAACAAAGTAGGTGAATGTGTCCTATGGCAGATCTGACTTACTAATATGAAAAGGCCAAAACAATCATAATCCATTCGTAGTTAGGCTGATTTTAGAAAGCATAGAATAAGTAAGTGTATCACTTGAAGTCTCAGAAGTGGATGGCAACAGAAATTGGAAATCAAGGCTTCTAACTGCAAACTTGGCTTACTGTTTCCACAAAAGTGAAATGTTTCTGTATGGGGAAAAAGAGGGTGCCTGGAGAGCTGCTGGTTTGTTCTTGATGAAAAACAATGCTTCTGATATTTATATGTAATAAACAAGAGTATGTTGGCTGACAATATTGTTTTCTGAAAAATAGTATGAATTTTAATGAAACAGCAATGTTGGTAATTTAGTACAATTACGTAAGACAGACTCCAGCATTTTAGAGACTCAAATTTCACTCTCTTGGAGGCTGCAAAAAGATCAGTCTATCTCTCCTCTCTTGGGACACAAATAAAAACCAAACAAGAAGTGAAAACAACTTTGTGATATGATGAAACAGAACGTAGAATTTACCACCTAGAACAAAGTCTATGGTTGTCCTGGCATCAATAAATTCATTGAATTAGAAATGTGTTAGTGAATGCATGCAACTTGAGTGGATGAAAGAGTCCAACCAGGAAAAAAGAAAGTTCTGTGTTCCAATGGTGGATTGTGCATCTGAAGGCAATTTAAATTTCCAGTGCCTTTCAAACATGTTCAACTATATCAGACTGGCTTGATTTCCCATGAAAACATTCATGTAAATTATGCTTTAACTTGCACGTGCTAGACATATGACAGGAAATGCTGAGTCGAAATGAAGCAGCTGTTTCTTCATTAATATGTGAGAGGTATGATGGGCCAGGCATGTTCTGGAAAGAGTACATCTAAGAAGGGATCACCGAGAATGAGTAATTTCAGTTAGAACCCAATTTCTAACACTCACTGGAGAAGGAAACTGCTCCATCACAAAATAACTCCTGGAGTGAAGCCTTTTCCAAAGATTTTGCTACTTTCATCATTTTTAAATTTCTCTTGGTAGCATATATATTTCTGTCAAATCAAGTGCAATCAGCTATTTAGAGAACTGGGTAGTAATTTGTCTTTTTCTTTCTGTCAAAAAATCTTACTTCAAAATCTAACATGAATACATGCTTAGCTACAAGCAGTTAGTGGGTTAGAATACATGTTTGATTTGCATGTTCTCTGTACTTAGAGCCACATGGGGACTGAGAGTATCTTTTGGGTCTCAGAACGTTTTCACAGAAGCTAAAGTTGCATACAGGGCACTTACTGGGTCTCCAGTCCTTAGTTGATGGAAGGAGATTCCATGCAACATGTACAGGCCACCTCCCAGAAAAGCAAATCAGAATCAGCACCAAAGCAACCTGACCAAAAAAGCAGACACGTTGGTCTTTCAACAGGCCATTCCAAAGTCTTACATGTCTAGAATACAGCAGCTCTTTGAGTGCATCAGTTTCTATCATTGGGATTAAGGAATCAACCTGGTTTAGCTGAAATATTGAACAATTCGAAGTTGCACCCCTTTTCCTTTTCAATTCTTTATAACCATTCTCCAACTAAACAAAGAAAAAAAAAGAGTGTTTTTGTCCCTCACGATTTTTTGGTTTTTACTACTAGTTGCTGATATGTCATCAAGCCAGAAGTTGACTGGATAATAAAGGAAGCATTATGACAGCACAATTTCATCGCCTCCCCACCATATACAACTAGTTTCAGGGCTTGTTCAGTTCCTAGCATTGATAATTCTTCTCCAGACATGAGGGATAAAAGCTTGAGAAGGGTCATACTCAGAAAGTAATCCCCAAGAGGTGGCTGCCTCCACCACAGCCCTCAGCACTGAGCAGCACGGTGCTCTTAAGCTTTGGATTTCTTCCGCACTTTTACACTCACACACTAGTGAAATAGGAAGTGTGCTCTCAGGGACAAGGGTGGGAACAACCAAATGATCACAAGAAGTGGGATTCATGCCATTTCTTAAGGGAAACATGTTTGGATTCATTTGCTCTCTGAGTTCCCAGCCGTGGGATGGCATTGTGTAAAAACAGACACCACCAGCTTCTTGGGACTGAAATGTTTTGTATGTGTTGTTGTTTGCAGTGCATGCCAAGACATTCATGAGCACCAGAGCCAAGCTGGCGAGCTAATTAAATATATATATATGTATATGTTTAAAACAGCCTAATAAGGAGCATTGGAAATCTTCAAGATGAGCGAATATCTTATAACTTCTTCCGCAGGTGCGAGGATAGCTACAAGCCATGGACTTTCTGTCCTGCTTCTTGTTTGTGGCTTTGTGAAGGGTGCTTTGCTTTAATCTAAAGTGCTGACTTTTTTCCAATATCACTTTCTCTTCTTAAAGCAAAGAGCAAATCGCCTGTAAAATCTACGGAGCGGACAGCAAAGTTGACCCTAAACTCCAAGCACCATTCTGCACCCCTGTACTCTAGTTACCTACACAAGGAGCGTCAGCTTCCGGAAGCATAAGTGAAGAGGCTGACACACGCTTTATTGATAGTATTTTCTTTGGGAAGTGGCTGATCTTTTATTTGAAGAGAATTAATGTGAAGCGATAGGACATTTTCTAATAACAAGATCTATTTTTTCCCTCTTCTTTCAACAAATAAAATCTACATTTCACTGACTGCTCAAGAGTTGGCCTGAAAGTCATCAGTATAGTAAATATTTCCATGGATTTCACCAATTTCCTACCAAGGGACACATAATCTGAATGAAGCAAACAAAGATGGAAAGCCTAAGAAATGTAAACTATCTTCAAACAGCACCCCAGCTGGGGGAAAACAAAAAAACAAAAAACAAAATGCTGGACACTGCAAATCAACAACAGGCAACCTTTATTTTACATAAGGAAGAATCAAAAGCAAGTTTTGATTTTTTGGTTTTTTTTTTTTAACTTCTTTTTCCCCTTGGAATTTTCCTTGGAGTTTCCCTTCTTTTCCTCAATCGCCGTCCTTGTTCCGTGGTAGCAAGTGCCAATTATGGCCAATTCTAGTCAATCCTGAGAGGCTTATATTCATACACATTGAGTGTGCTATATTTCAATGTATTTTAATTCATTTTGCAATTTCTGTGTATGCAAACCTGGCAAATTCTGTAAATTGCTTATAGTATGTGTGATATGACTTCAAGGTAGATAGATATGACCCTCATGCAAGCTAACTTTCTTCATTCTATATACAAATATATACATGAGCATATATTAGGCTGCCAACTTCTTTTCCTAAAGCATTATTTTTCATCTGTAACTCATGTATTGTGTGAGTTTTATAGTGTGTTTCTCTGTTCCACTGGTTTGACAGCTAAGGTTTGTCTCTGTTGTCCTCTGCTTCCTCCTGGAAAATGCATATTTAAATTGTATATGTCTCTGATAAATGAATTAATTTTGTTGTGTGTATGCCATGTTGGAATTTGCTGCGTTCCTTTATATGTGTGTTTATTGAGGTTTGGGGATCTCAAGTCTGAAGAATGCACATCCTGGTTTTGACAGATCTCGTCATGTTATCAATATTCTATCTCAGAAATAGAATGAGGCCAAGTGGGAATGCTGAAGAAGACATTTTGACTCCTCAGGTTCCTGGAAGAGCACTTCACACTCAGAGTAAATAACGCTGCTTCCTTGGTTCTTCAAGAATTTTTGTAGCTTTGTCATTCTGTTATTTGCTGCTAATTATATTTCAATGTCTACTAATTAAAATTTAAAATGTGATTGTTGGCTGAATATAATATGCAAATGACTGCAAAGCCCATACTGAAGAAGATAGGTGTTCAATCTTCACTCATTAATTATAATTTTAAATATTCCATGGTTATTTTTGACTTTATGATATTTTGTTTAGACCTATTCCAAATAAATCTTTCTCTGGCAAAGAAAGATAGAACAACTAATACAATCCTTCCTCCAAAATATAATAGTTATGGCTTGAGAAAGAATGCATCCAGATAGTCTTCCAGAAAGATTACTTTATTTACTTTTATTATAAATTCAGAACACCATCTATTTAGGAATGGTCCATTCCCAGCTTAAGGTCCTAAAGTGAAGCTTAAAGGCTATGAATACCTTTGATTATTTTAAGGTAAAGGGCTGGACTCTGCCATTCACTTATAAGCAATGTGCATATTTTTATAACATTCTTGACATTTTCTTTTAAGAAATATTGCTTCATGCTAAATCTTTCCTTGCCATTTTTCTTATTTCATTTGATTCATTATTTCATTCTAATGAGAAAAATAAAGGTTTAATTGTGATACTTTATTAACATACAAATGTATTTTCTTTCAAAGTTAAATATCTGAAAGTTGTATAAAATGATGATAGGTAAATATTGCCTGTTAAGTCTCTTTGAGCTTTAAGAGTTCCATACATTGAGGCATATATTAATATACTAATTTAACATCAACCAAACTGGGAAAAACCATCATGTATTATATTTTTACTCAATGTCCAGTTAATGATATCAGCCAATTCTACAGTAAGCCAAACTTGTACCCACATCAGTAATGTTCATCATGCTTGTAATAAAAGAGCACATGCTAGTTTGGGAAGAATGCTCACTAGATTCATTGTATCAGTGTCCAAAATAATAAAGACCTGTTTATCACTGTGTGACCAAAGTCTAGCCCATCATCCACTTTGAAAAGAGAATATGGCATACTATCTGTTTGTTCCAAACTCAAAAAGGAGTATGGAACTTTAAACATTAGAACAGAAAATACAGCTGTCAATGAGAATTTCTAAACATCCTAAATATATTATATTCCTTTGGGATTATAATTTTTATGTAGCCATGACTGTGGAAGTGAATAGAAATGCAAAAGTAAAGTATTTGGCTTCCTCAACCTTGTTTCCAAGGTAATATAGTATCTTTTTATAAGACAGAATTATAAAAAGCTGAAATTTCTTACATGAGTTTAAGTTAGATACTTTATTCCTTAAAGACTTATGGGCAGTTAACAAAGTAAAGGAGGCAAATGAAATTACTCCTGAACAAAATAAGATAATAGAATTCTCTAGAACAGAAGCTGTACTCTGAGTTAGTAAGTAAGCTTCATAGGGTCTAGGAACCAGCCCTGTTTACAGTCAGCCCTACATGTCCTTAAACAGCACACTGTAGCAATCATCTGCATGGTGTTTGTGCTGTATTAGGCATAGCAATCAGAGATGATTTAGCGTACAGGAGGCTGTGTGTATCATGTTCAAATACTATTCCATTTTATCTAAAAGACTTGAGTACTCACACATTCTGATAGCCAATGATTGGCTTGTACAGCCATCTATCTACAGATGCTAGGTGGAGAGCTATACATGTATGGTTTTACCGATATTCATTTTATGGAGATAATCCTTGGCATGAATTACTTCTGAAAAGCAATTTAATCGTGATTTCCTTGCCTGAGAAAGAAATATATAAATGATTTTAAGAACCTAAGAAGTCCTCATTACTATGTTTTTGAAGTGGTTTACCTTGAAGTTCTCAGAAACAAAGGTGTTCAGATAAATATATTAGTATACACACATACACACATATTTGGCAAATAAAATGTATATTTTTAAGCCTAGAAAATTTTTTAAATTTATTATACATGGGATGGAATAATAAATATAGAATAATATATGTTGACTTTTTACAACAGATGCTAATAAAAAAAAAAAAGGAATGGTGGCACATTCCTGTAACCACAAGACTCAGGAGGTTGGAATAGGAAAAACACGAGTTCAAGCCCCACCTGTCTACAACCTGAATCATTAAAAAAATAAAATAAAATATGCTAGTTTAATTTTGAAAAAAACCTCACACAGATATTATTCCTATATTAACCCTATATAGGAAATAAAATATTGAGTGTAGTGTTAATTTGTATAAAAAAAATCACAAGAGGTAAAAGCAATCTTTCTTGAGATAATATATAAACTGATGATTGTATCATAGAATTAAGACTATGAAGTTAAAAACTGAATGCTCTAAGTTTCAAGTGTTTATACCAAGCAATTTTATTTTTAGAACTGTTCATTAGTAAAGGGAGTTCTCTGTCATTCAGGAAATGTCAGCCATGACATAGATAAGGTCTTTCCCTGTATGTAGTGAGAGACAAGAGGAAAGCATTCAAAAGCAATAAAATGTGTGATGCCAATAATTTCTGTGAAGACCCAATCAGAGGAGATAAAGGGGAGTGACTGGGACGTCACAGGAGGTTACTCTAGGGGTGCAGTTATGCAATCCTAAATGATAAGAAGCAGAAGATTTGGGAGATATATCGTCAGGGAGAGGGAATAGCCCATGCCAATCACCTGGAGCAAACTTCAGGTAGAGTTGTCCAAGGCATAGTCTGTGAACATGGGCATGCAGAAAAAGAGAGGCAGGAGAGGGACCTGAAAGAGAGCCTGAGGCAGGATTACATAAGGGATCTTCAGAAGGTAATGAGGCCAGAGGAGCCAACAAAGCAGAGCTAGATCTTGCGAAGATCTCACTTCAAGGTTTGATTCTGCCCTCAGGAGACAGGCTTTTTCTGCCATCCTGAAGTTTAGTCAGTTAATCATGTTAGGTTAGCAACACTCTTTGGAAAGAACACTGAAGTTTCCAAATTATGTGTGTGTGTGTGTGTGTGTGTGTGTGTGTGTGTGTGTGTGTGTGTGTGTGTGTGTGTGACTGTGTGTCTGGCTGTGTGTTCATGTGTGCATATTGAGGACAGAGGATTATGCCAGGAGTCATGTTCTGTCATTCTCCACCTTATTCCGTTGGGACAGGGTCACTCACTGAACCTGGAACCTGGTTGGAAGACAGCAGACCCCGGAATCCTCCCATCTCCTGTGTTTACAGGCATTCTCAGCCACACCCATACTTGTGCAGCATGTGATTTTACCCACAGAAACTTCTTCATAGTCCCAAATTGGTTACTTTTATACTGATACTGTGGGAATTCAGGAGCTGTGAGATATTAACATGTTTTAAATGCTAATATACAGTTGAAACTTTTCAGGGGCAAGACAGGGGATTGAAAAGATAATTGGGACTGTTTGGAATATGGTAAGGAACTAGTGACTGTAACTGCATTCATGATTTAAAATAAAAGCATGGGTCCATTTGCCTCCCTCTAGTTTAAGTTATCTGCTGTTAGCCATACTTTGAAAATAGCCAATGGAAGCCTCCCAAACAATTCATGAATTTACAGTGTATGTTGCTCTGAGTAGTGTAATAAACTGCACATCACTCTATGAATCAATCTTTTATTCAAGAACCACATACTATACATACCCATTAGGTACTTAGTAGCCATCCCAGTTAGCAGGTGCACTGTGGTGGTATCCTGGGGCTTGTGTTCAACTGACCACTGTCACAAGAGAAGTGATGACAGCAATTCCATTATAACAAAAAGCAACTGTGAAATGCTTACTCTAAATAGAATGATGAAAGTTCTCAACTACATCAAAGATAAATACATATAGAAAAAACAGTCTATAGATTATTCTGTACTACCTGTGACATCAGGCATCTGCTGGGGGGTTTGGAACATATCCCACTCCGTAACGAAGAAGAGGGGAGGGACTACCTTATTCTAATGGAAAGGGCAGACAGATTGGAAGAACAGACACTCCTAGACATTTATTGGAAAGACTGTTTTTTAAAAAGTAGAAAGAGGCCGGGCGGTGGTGGCGCACGCCTTTAATCCCAGCACTCGGGAGGCAGAGGCAGGCGGATCTCTGTGAGTTCGAGGCCAGCCTGGTCTACAGAGCGAGATCCAGGAAAGGCGCAAAGCTACACAGAGAAACCCTGTCTCGAAAAAAACCAAAAAAATAAATAAATAAATTTAAAAAAAAAGTAGAAAGAGGAGAATTTATTATACCACATGTCCATGCATACATATACCCACAAACTTATTTTTAAATATAAGAAATTAAGATCTTGGAGTTCTCCACAACAAAAATTTCAGAAGACAATAGAGTAAATGGTAAGGAGCTTGGAGTGCTAGCCAGGTGTGCATGCCTGGAGACTAGGCAGGAAGATCACAAGTTCATAGCCAGCCTAAACTTGAAAATGAAAACCTTGTCTAAACAAACAAAATGGAAGATTACAGTGTTTTCAAAAGAAAATTTGTCTCAAAACCATCTTACATTGTATTGTATTTTCACTGTGAACACAATAAAATCATTCTGAGGTAGACAAAGTTCTTTAAAAAAATAAGATGTATGGACTTTTTAAAGATTTAATTATGTGTGTGTGTCTGTGGGGTGTATGTGTGTGTGTGTGTGTGTTTGTGTGTGTGTGTGTGCACGTTGTGTGTGTGTCTGCGGGGTGTGTGTGTGTGTGTACACATTTGAGCGAAGATGCCCATGAAAGACAGAAGAGGTCTTTGGACCTTCTGGAGCTTGAGTTACAGGTGGTTGTCAGCTGCCCCAAGTGGGTACTGAGCACCAAACTCAGGTCTTCTGTAATATCACTGCACATTCTTAACTCTTGTGTCATCTTGCCAGCCCCAGATGTGTGAACACTTACAAGCAATGCTTCCCTGTGTACCCCAACTGCAGCAATAATCAAACATAAAGCTATAAGTGAATACCTATAACATAAACTGTAAACCATAGGAAATTTGAAATTATGTTAAATATAAATTATAATAAAGTATTTTATTCTATTTCACTATATACAAAAAGATTTATAAAATAATACCATTATTTTGTTCATGCCTTTTAGTACTTTCAGTTTTGTTCTGTTTTATTCATGTTGATTATCACACATTAATTTGAATTTACAGACATACTTTACAAAACAATCACAGGTATATTTCATTCCAAAGAACAATTCAATGTCAAATATAATCTAAACTCACATTATGTTATTCAAAAATGGACAGTCAAAGATGAACCACAGACAAAGAAATGCTCCCAGTTCTCTGCTGGTGACTGTAACCAGGGCTGGGGTTCTCTTTCATGCTTGCAGTCTTTGTGTGTCATTTGGGTTCTGTTCCAGGCTGCTAAGCTAAATCTAGTTGGCAGCAGACCTTTCCTGTAAGATTTGAGGAGCACCTGGGTGAGCAGTACCGCAGCACTCAAGCCTGCTTCCATCCTGCCCCTGGAAACACAGAAGTCAGTACTTAGTCATCCTGTGACCTAGTTTGAATGGTGGATTGATTGTGGAGTCTTGAAGTAAGCAGAAGGATGCCTTTCTCGAATCTTCACTTGATTTCCATGACCTAATAAAAATCCTCCATTCCTTGAAAGCAGATGTCTAAACACTATAAAGTCATAGTCCACCACCAAAGTCATTATAAAGTCACAGCTCCACTCAAGTCCACCACCAAAGTCATCATAAAGACACAGCCCCACCCAAGTCCACCACCAAAGTCATCATAAAGACACAGTCGCACCCAAGTCCACCACCAAAGTCATCATAAAGACACAATCCCACCCAAGTCCACCACCAAAGTCATTGTAAAGTCATATCCCCACTCAAGTCCTCCACCAAAGTCATCATAAAGACACAGCCCCACCCAAGTCCACCACCAAAGTCATTGTAAAGACACAGTCCCACCCAAGTCCACCACCAAAGTCATCATAAAGACACAGCCCCACTCAATACACCACCAAAATCATTGTAAAGTCATAGCCCC